CCCTGGCTTCCCAGACAACATTCCTGTAATGTTCCCAGGTGTCTGTGAGGAGCATTAAGATCGAACTGAGGTCGGTCGCTTGTGGTCCTTCTGACAGGAGAGCTAAGAGGGCCTCAAAGGAAACTGGAAAGTGCAGGTTCAAAGCAAATTGAAGTGTCTCTTCTCGCCACAGATAATTGAGCTGTGGACTGCCTTGTCACAGGAAGTCTCGGATCCTGAAAGCTTGTATAGGTTCAGAGAACAACAATATAAATGAATGGAAGATAAATCAATCTGGAACCATTGAATAAAAGGGGTCAGCTTTGCCTAATGGAAGTTCTGCAAGTACAAATATTTGAAGCTGGGAGAGTAGCACTGTCTGCTTTTATTTGAACTCTTCTTCCAGCAGTCTCTAATGATTGCTGTTAGAGAGAAGGTAACAGATTAGGTGAACCCTGGGTCTGATCTAGTAAAGCTGTTTATTTGTAGTACCTGTAGCCTGCAGGCAGCACTGTATGTGGTCACTGGTCTGTTGTCAAAGGTTGTTGGGAGACTCAAAGATTTGTTCAAAGGTTACTGGGCAAAGTATCTGGGTGTGATTGAAGTGCTGATACTAATTTTATTTCCATTAACTTTCTTTTTTTTTTTTTTTTTTATTATACTGCATGAAGATTTGAAAAGCTAGAAATCACAGATCTGGATTTATATTTAAAATTTCCTACAAATTTTAAGTATTGCAAAAATTGCAAGGTTCTCTTTATAGCTCTATTCTAGCAAAATGAGCCACTAAAAAGCTTAGCAAGCAACTCAAGACTTGTCAGCACCAGATCTGTGATCAAGTAAGACTGCTAACATAAGTCTGTGTGTAGTTATGGGTGCTGGAAAAATTCCCAGAAGAGAAGAGGTGAATCTCTTTCTGACACCTGGAATTTAGGGCAGACTAGAAGAAAACAACGTACCAGGTACACTTCCCGTTATTGCCTTGTTCACATCCTCTGCCTACTGAATACCAAGCAGTCTCCTGTCTGGCATATTATTAATCTACCTTTAAAACAAGTCAGACAATTGACCAAGGATCATTTGAGGTTGATGATGCTGTCAAATGTAGTAAAGGCCTCAGCTGAAATTCTCAGCAGGGTGCGAGTTTCTTAACTTTTCATGTGGATCCTTTATGTGAATCATCATTCAGACCCAGTCGACTGGTGCTCTGTTCTGAGAAGTGTTAGAACTAAAAAGGGAACCAAAATTCTGGCAAATTGGCTGTAAGTGTCTTTGTGTTGGATGCCCTTGAGAATTCCTTTTTTTTAATTTCAAACTGTATTTGCCAAAGCAGTAAGGGACATCCAGAAAAGTAGTTCTTGGGAATAAATGTTAGATGTTTTCTAAGTCCATCACAGTTATCTGATTCTCTGGCACGTTTAACTTAGTTTTTCAGCCTTTTAAGGCATATATGCCTGGTATTCCCACCTGTACAACACTCGAGGGTAAATGATTATTGGAGTATCCTTTTCATAAAACAAGAGGTAATAATTTTGACAAGTAGAAAGCAAGTCCTTTTTGTTGCTGTTTTGAGACCAGCATCTGTGGAAGAGATGTTTGTGCTGTGAGTTCTTCAACTTTTAAATTACTTTTAACTTTCTATGTGAGTTCTACAGCTACTTCCTAATTTTCAGTACTTCCCTTTCTTGTTTTTTTTCCATAGTAGTTTGTACAAATGCTCACATTGTGCAAATTCATCCAAGTTCTCTGTGGTTTTGTTGGGCAAGATTTGACTTTGACCAGGTGGCTTGTCCTTTTCCTGTGCTTTCACTTCACAGTGTAGCTGTGGGGGTGACAGAGCAGAGGGGGAGCTGCTTGGCAACTGTGCAACTCCAACCTGACATACTAGTTTCCTAAAGTTCCTGTCAGTTCCATCACTCTGGAACTAACAGTATTTGTGCTTCTCTTTGAGATCTGACTTGCAAAAATGCAAGCTAGAAACCTGGGGTCTAGTACACCTAGTAAGATTTTGGCAGGTGGGATTTTGTGGATTTTTTGTTTGTTTGTTTGTTTGTTTTTTACTTCCCCAAAGAGGAAAATTTAAAGAAAGATTTTAATTTTGGGTTGGGTTTTTTTTTCCTAATGCTTCTTTGTATTTTTTACCTGTGCACAGATCTTAATTCCTTTGTCTCTGTAAGATAGCCTTAGACCTAAGGCACTGTACTTCTTGACAGAGGGATATGTGTCTAAACTGTTGGAATTTCCTTTGCCTTGTATGTAAATAAAAATGGACACTAAACTATTTTCATTCTTAAAACTCAGTTTAAACTCGTATCTTAAGCTCTTTATGCACCTGTCTGGTGACACCATCAATCTGAACATCCCTCACAACCACACGCCCTATTCTGAACTAATTGCCTGACACTCTGGGAAAACAGCTTTTGTGCTGCTTTGCCGTGTTGCAGAGTGACAAGGAGAGATGCTGTTATTTCAGCTTTGGGAAGAAGGTACAGAGACATTTTCTCCAGCAGATAGAGCTGAGCTAGAAGTAACATGGAAACAATACTAAAATACAAGTCACAACTTACTACCCTTTCATCAGAGAAGGTGTATTTCCTCTGCAGTCTGCAACACAGACTATATTGCTAGGGGTAAAGTGTGATTTCTTCTTTTTCATCAAAACTACCTTTCTCCTCCACAGTCTTTAAAATGACACATTCTTGCACACTATACTTGATGGCTTTTAGTAAATCTTTGCAACTTTGGCCTCAAAAACAAGCATTGTGCCATTTTATTCTTTGCTGCTGTTGAGGCAGTAGAACAGTTACGTGGGAAGCTTGGTTCCAGGACAGACAATAGCATTTAATAATCCTAATGAATCTTTTTATGCTTTTTTAGTCAACAATATATTTATTACTTATTCTGCTAAACAATCTAGTTAGTCATATTCAAATCATATGAAAAGGTAATAGGTAACATCTTAACTGCCTGTTGATGTGGTGGGGAGACATGAGGTATTGCATTTTGTTGGCTTTTATCATGCAGAGATCTCAAAAGTCCTCAGCTGTGCAGCTAATGCAATTTTTTCATGTTAGTTCCCCCCCTCAAATTTTGTTTTTTCCAAAGTGGGCACAGTTCATCTGGGGCTCACTGTGTAACAATGCATCAAGGAATGCCTTTGTAAATAAGTATTTATGGAGGTGAGTCTATCTTCTCAGACTTGCTTACTTTGAAGACAATGCTACTTAGCTGAGATGATTTGGACCTGGGTTTGCATCAGAGAATCGGAGAGGGGCACTGTGACAGCCTGCTTGTGATGTCAAGCCTTGCAATTTAGGAAAAACACCTGATCCTGGGTTGCTGTAGGAATTGAGACTTTTTTTTTTCCTTTTATTTAAACTTGCACTGACTACTGATGTAAGAACAACTGAATTTATGTTTTTAAAATGTACAGGATAGCCAGTTTTTCCATGCACGTGGCATTGCTCTTAACCTTAGTGAATTCTGATGAAGCATTATGAGCATGTGTTTTGCCCATGGGCTCCTGGTCCTTTGCACAGGGCAAGCTTAGCACCCACACTAGATGGGCCATGCTGCTTCTGGACTCAGGCTGCTTCCGAGATCAGTTTGATGGCATTATCTGTCTAATGCAAATCATGTGGCAGCAGTCATGAACTAAAAAAAATGATGGATCCGATTTGTTTGTGCACAAAGCCAGTCAGTCTGCAACCTGAATACATCACTTACTAATAACTGAGCACTGACAGTATCAATTTTACCTGGTGACTATTTTATAAATACCTGCATGCGAGATGTGTGCTATCACTTAAAACGGATGCTGGCATGAGTGTGAATGAGTCAGGTGTCTGCATTTTAAGAGAAAACTAAACAGTTCAGAGTTTCTGGCATGGATTTGAGGGTTGTAGGGTTTTTTTTAATTATTATTTTTTTTTCTTATACATGACTATAAAAGTGGAAGTGCTTCTTAGTAGGAGAGATCTTATATTACAGGTGAGGATGACTGCTTTTTTGAGGCATGGTATGCTTTTTGTACCATCTTTTCATAGCATTCGCTGCAGAGAAAATTGGATGGCAATGTGGTCTTTGTGTTCCTGCTTGTGCATATTAATACAGCAAAGAGTACTGTCAAGTACTGGTGTTCTTCTTCATCTTTATTTTCACGTGTTCATATTTTCATTTTTTCATGTTCTGTTCCATTTATCTGTAGCTGTGTTGTCAAAATTTCCAGAATGTAACAAGCTGTGTAATGTTCTCATAGTGCTGGAGCTATTTTTAATTATAAACAGAGGACCTGAATCAACTCAAAATAAGCTGACAGTTGCTTTATGAGCCAAAGGGTGGGGGAAATCTAAATTATGAGATGACAGTATAACATAGTTGTGCTTTGCCAAAATAGTATGTCATTCTGAAACAGTATTTCCCTGTGAAATTGTATTAGGATATTACTACAAATCTAAACAAAGGAACGAAGTCCTAACTTCTACCTTGAGCGATACTGAAAAATTTTAATTCACCATGTGGCTGATGTGCATGCTGATTAGATATTATTGTTATTATTGTTGTTGTTACTATCCTAGTCCTGTCTGAGCTGTGTGTTTTTAAATACTAAATGTAGACACAGCAATATTAAAAGCAGTGAGGAACTGGTTTAAAAAAAAAACAAAAATTCTTTTGTATATCTAATCACATCAGAAGTAAATTTGAAAGTTTATTGTGCGTTCTTGTCCATACCAGTTCTTAGTTTAATCATCAGTATTTGAAATGCCTTTTTTTTTTCTCATTCATTTGAAACAACTTGATTACAGTGATTATTTTTTAACTGTCCTATAGTTTCTGACTTATGCTGTCTTGCTCTTCTAGAAGGAGTTCTGGAAAGTCTACAAAAACGGACTTCAGGGAGAAAGTAACACAGGACATACCTGGTATTCATTTTACCTTGCATTTCCATTAATCATTGGCCTTTTTGTCATCCTCATTGTCATTTTTGTCATATGGAGATGCCTGTTTAAAAAGAAATTACGTAGACAGTCGGTGTACATGCATAGGGGAGCCCACGAAGCCATGGGTGATGGTGCTGTGACTGATGGCAGAGGTCCTCTTCCGCCGCCTCTCAGCATTGTTCATTCCCCACAGGAGGAAATGTATGAAGTCAGTGGGCTCTCTCCAGGAGATCTGAGCTATATGGATGGACGGTCAGACTCAATATCCACAAGGCTCTCAAACTGTGATCCTCCTCCTTCATATGAGGAAGCCACTGGTGAAATGAGTGTGAGAAGAAGTGAAACTGAACAACATTTAGATCCACCCCCACAGTATGAAGACATTGTGAATTGTAGTTCAGCTGGTGCAATTGCACTATCTCCAATTGTCACCAGTACTAAGTAAAGCAAGAAGAATGCTATGGACTTTTTAAAAATTACTAATCATTTTGTAGCACTTTATCTTGGCTTATTATGCATTTCTGTAATTTAATGGACTTGTATGATGAACTTCACTTTTGGTTTAGATCCACTTGTTCTTTGGGTTTGGGACTTTTTTTTTTCCTTTTTTTAGCAGGTCTGAAAAATTAAGGACTCTATTGAGAGTGTAGTGCAGATACAAATGTGGTGCTCTATGATACGTCTCAAAAGTACCTCTGTGTTGAGGATGCCACTTATTTTAGTCCAAACATTGTCCACATTCCCCACAAAATATGTGGAATCTCCCTCCCCTTTCTTACTGCAGACTGTCAGAATTGTCTGAAATAGGGAATCCTTAAGCCACATTTTAGATAGTTATTTACACTAAAGGGGACTGATTTTGCAGTATTCCCTTTTGTCCAGTTGGTTCGTCTTTCTCACTTGGATTTTTGTTACATGCTGAACCCTGTCATGGGCCCTTGGAAGGCTGAGAGCAGTAAGCCTTTGTGTTCAAACCAGCATCTCATTAAGAGTATGCTGGCATAATAGCAATAATTTCAGAGTCCTGGCACAAGAGGTGTATTCTAAAGCTTTTGCTATTACAACTCAAAATTCTGTAAATGTTTAGAAGCTAACAATCCGAGACACTACTTAGTGAATTTAATACTGTACTACTTTTGTCCATGTTCTGACTTTCCTCTGTTTTCCTATCTGTTTTCACTTGTGTATTCTAGAGGTGAGGAGTGTGTGTATGTTAAGTTTAGAATCTGAAAGTTCATGCAGCAGTAAATAATGAAATACTTGAATGGATAAAATCCTGATAGTAGTCTTCCTACCATAGTCTTCATTGGGACCAGGATGTTATCCATAAACTCGTAAACCCATAGTTATTACTTTCCTTTTAAAAGGGGGGAAAAAAAGACATTCACATACACTGAATGCTTTTCCTTTTTTTTTTTTTTTTTTTTCCCCAGCTGTGAAATAAAAACCTCTTCCTCAAATCCTGATACTCTGTCTCTTGCATACTTACATGTACCATATGTGCACCTTACATTGGTTGCTGTGGAAATCCTTTGCAGAGAACATAGATAATAATTTTTTCAACAACAAATATATTTATTGCTTATCAATTCCAACAAGGTGCTTCTGTTGCAAGAGTTAACTAGGTTATAACGAAATACAACTACTTAATTTTTAAATTGTTTCTAAGAACAGCATAGTGCTTTTATCGATGACATGAACTCCTAAAACACACTCCATTCTCAGTGTACACAAGCCTTTTTTTTTTCACAGCTCTTAGGTTACAGGTGCTCATCAGAGTTAGAGTTGCTGGGAAGCATGTTAGTCCAGGCTGGCTCCAGAAATTGTTGTCTGGCTCATTCCAGCTGTGAGCATGGGGCCCACCTGATAAGGCAGAACCAGGAGGACCCACAGTGTGTATTTCTAAGAACACAATGCAGGTGTAGTCCCAAGCATTAGTCTGGAGTGACTTTTTGAGGCTGAAGACATGTGGATTTCTGTCAGACTTGATGCAAATTAGAATAGAGGCTTGTAAAGAATTTCAGCCACCTGGTTTAGACACTGATGGTAGTTAAGGTGGTGCACGTTATAGTGTGGCAATTCTTTTTTCCCAGCTTGATTTAAAAGTTCATTGCTTGGTTTAGCTCCTGAATACTCATTTCAGTTTTCTTCCCATATCAATGTAGCTGGCATTAGCTTTAGTATTGTTGTGTTCTACTAATGAATTATCAATTGAAACATATGAGCCTTGAAGGACTACTGTGTTAAGTTGACTTTCTTACAACAGAAACCCAAATTGCATCTTGTTCCAAAGACCCCAAATGAAAGGCCAGTGCCATCCATTTGAAATTGCTGTTACTGTCCAAGATGTAGCTGGTGTCTTCTGTCTCGTGGAGGCTTGGTCCATCTTCCCTAAGAAATTTTACAGAAAGCTGATGAAAGGAAATGTATGGTCGTGGATGGGTGTGTATACGCACAATTCTGTAAGAGTCTGGTTGAATGTATTGACCAGTGAAGTAAGGATTTTATGATTAATTTTAGATCTCATTTTCAACAAAGAGTAGGTTGCCTAAGTTGCCTACTGAGGACATTTAGTGGCTAAGGCAAGTTGTATTAAGAGTTAATAGATGAACTCCAGGCCAAACCATTGTCAAAAACTTAACCTAAATTTTTTTATGTGAGTTATTGGGCAGATAAATACAATGTTTTGGACACTTGCAGTAAGAATTGCTTGGGTCTTGATTTTGGATTTTCTGACCTTTTCTTTTGGAGTGGTTTTAACTCTTATGTGTCTTGAATTGCCACTTGTAGAAGTTAAAGCTCCTTTTATACTGAGCAACGGTTAACACACTGCTTTAGGCAGACGTTGCCAAAACAGTGCCTCATCTCAACATGCAGGAACCACCTCAAAAAGAGCTGGTATTTCAATGTCCATGCCATATTGGCATCTCCTGTGCCTGCCAGCACAGCTAGTAGTTTTAGCAGTTTGGATATAGACTTTCCTGTAGGAAATGCATGGAGATCGCCCATTTCAGATTGGGTCATTCAGCAGACATCATCATCCCCTGAACATGGGCAATCTAGTTTAGAGACGAGCTGGGTTTGCTTTCTCTTCTTTTTTAATTACTGTGTATTCCACTGCCACTTTTAACAGCTTTATGTTTCTGGCTTCTAAGTTGAACATGTTGCTTTTATGTGCATGCAATAATGATGCTCATCCTTCAGAAAAAGCCACAACCAAATATATAAAGTGATCTGTGAGTTTAATTTATTGGGTATGCCTTTTCCATGTACATGAGCATGAAAGCCATTGTGGGCTGTAAGCTTACGTGTTGGTGAATAAATTTCATAATTAAACAAAACTTGTGTAGGACAGTTATCCAAATGTATTTCCTTTAAGACATGAACAGCTTTCTCCATGTTGGAATAATGTCAAACTACAAATTGTTTCATTCTTATTTGTGAAATGTGGGAAAATAGCTTAGTCTTGAGTCTGGCTTTTCTAATCTGATTGAAAAATAAAGTTTCATTTGTACTGGGTTTTATACAGCTTTTTTTTTCCTATCCTGTAATCACACTGTCATGCAATAAATATTATAAATGTATAGTTGTACCTCTCTAAAGGTTTTGCAAGTCTCAATGCAGTACTATCTTGACTGATGATATGAATTGTCACGGACACTGCCTTTCCCACTTCTGAATATAACCTTGAATTTCATCTTGTATTGGGACTGAGATGATTTATCTACTAAAACTAACTTAAGTATGTGTCACTGTTTTAAGAAATTATGGAAATTAATTATTTGTTTAAATGATATTTAGAATTAGTGAAGGTTGTTCTGTCTTCACTGGATGTAAATAACCTCTGATTACAGTATTGCATACTTTAAAGTGGTTTGGTTTACATTAAATTATCCTATTTAAACATTTTTGTCTATGTTTATAGAAAACTTTTTGTAACATTTGTTTTTCAATATGCTAAATAAAGTTTTTAAGATGTCTTTGTTTCAAAATATCAGTTCTGCACAACTACAGTGATAATTTACTTTCTGTATTTAAGTGGTGGCTTTTAATTTCCATTGTTGTGTGTACTTAATCAGTTGCACTGAATCCATTGTTTTGATAATTTCAAATACATAATTTTTTTTTTTTCAAAGATTTCATGTTCTTTAAAAATTCAGGCTCAGTTTTAATCAGATTTGTGAATTTGTTTATTTACCATTAAAAAAAAAAATCATTTGTTGTAGCCATAAACCAAGTAACAGTCACAGGCAGATGGAAAGCAGAAATTGTTCTCTGTTGAAACAGTATACTGTAGCAAAAAATGTTGAAGTCAGAGGACTTGATTTCAAAGTTGGTTTCAGCCCTTTGAAAGAAAGAGATTGCAAAGTTTTGCACCAGCTTTGGGAATGATGCATTAATAGTGAACAAAGGGGGGAGGGAAAGAAACCAAAACAACTAAACAAACAAAAAAACAACCTTGCATAATGATCCCTGCTAGAAACTAAAGATCTCCATTCTATTCAAGACAAACTTTGTGTCATCCTTTCTCACTCAGCTGCTGGTAAATAGGATAACGTGTCCCTGGTACTTTTCACTAGTTTACCGCATGACTGGAGTCTGTTGCAGGCATTAGTGAAGCCCAAGGGGAGGTAGGTAGCTTAGAGTGTCATGAACACGAGTACAGTTTTGTTCTAGTCATAACAAAGGTGCAAAAAGAGTCACTAAACAATGTGTGGGACTGTCCAAGCCATCATGTGCATAGTGGGTTCCTGGGTCAGCTTTTATTTGCATAGCTCAGACCAGACCGCTCAGTGTTGGGTTAAGTGGCATTGGCTGTGCATGTACACGTTCAGCATCCTGACCATACATCCATCACCACCGGGTAACGTGTTTGCACATGGTTCAATGCATGATTGCCTCTGCATGCCTGGCTTCTAGCTATTGAAATGTTGGATATAGTGTTAATCTGGTATCATGAATCTCGGTGTCTATAAAAAATCATCACACCAGGTTACTAATGATGAATGTTCATTATTTATTGTTTCATGAACACTGTTCTCTGCTGTTCTAAATCACACTGATGGATTCCTTTTTGTCTTCTGCATAACGTGAACTTTGTAAATATTTTGTAGTGCTACTTGCTGATTTTTAAAAAGAAAAACCATGTTCAGCTGAAAGCAGTGAGGTGACATCTGCGCTGTTTCATTGTTTGCTGCACACACATTTGATTGATTTGCTACGGGGTAATTGAACTTTGAGCTTTGCCAGAAAGTTGAACTATGCTTTTCTTCTGCAGTGGGGTCTCTGTAATTATATTTTTCACTTGGCAGTGAGTTATTGAATGCCAAGTAACAAGTCAATGCAAGAAAGACCTTGCCTGTATTTTCTTGATTGTATCAATTATGCGACATTTGCTTACCATTTAGTTCTCTGCGACAACATTTGCTGTAATATTAGGACCTG